TGTGAGAATGCTTTATGTATTAGAGTAATTAATGCCTCATTAAGGATATGATTTTCAAACATTTTCTCCTATCTTGTGTTCTCATTCTCTTGATAGTGTCCTTTGGTGCAATAAAGTTTTACTTTTGACAAGTATAACATCTATTTTTCCTTTGTGGCTTGTACTTTTGGTGTTTGCCTAAAGTAATTGAAATCATTGCCAAGGTAGGGGTTATAAGGATCGTGCCTGTGTTTTCTTCTAAGAGTTGGATAATTTTAGTTCCTACTTTTAAGTCTTTGATTCATTCTTTGTTAATTTTTACATATGTTATGAGGTAATCATCTAATTTCACTTCTTTCATGTAGATATATAGTTGTCCTAGTAACATTTATTGAAGAGACTGTCATATCTCCTTTAAACACTATCAACAATCAGTTGACTTCATGTGTATAGGTTTATTTCAATATTTCTGTTCATGAACTATCCATCTTTATGCTGTTACTCCACTTGTTTAATTATTGAAGTCATTACTTTTTAATGTATCCTCTTCAGATTTTAGATACCCCATTCCCTTCTCAGAAAATTCTGCCTTGCATTCGTTGAACAACATGCTACCTGCTAGCTACTGTTTCTAACTCTGCTGTCAGTGGCAATGAGACCACTTCCCTTTATCAAATTGTTGTTATTCTTCAGAGCTTACCTGGTATTTTATATCTATTTATTATCATATTATATTCTCAGGAACTAGAGATACTATTATTATCCCCAATTTACAGATGAGAAAACTGTAGTATAAAGAGGGCAAGTGACCAAACTACTCACAGTTAAATAGTATCAGATCCAGAATGCAAGTCTGGTCCATTCAATGCCCCAGTTCACTTTTAACCTGCAAGGCAGCTGAACATAACCATCTGGGTTAAACACTGTGCCAAGCGCTAGAGGAATAGGCCATTAACCCTGATTTATGAAAGTCGCATATTGGTAGAAAAAACATAGGCCAATATAAAATCTGACTAGTATATTAGCTACTTTTTTTCATTGCTGTGACAAGAGCAATTTAAGGAAGATTTTTTTTCCTGGCTTATGATTCAAGGGGTTACATTCATCAAGGTGGGGAAGGCATAGCCACAGAAGCATGAGGCATATTACATGGAAGTCAGGAAGCAAAGAAGGATGAATGCCTGTGTTCAGTCATCTTCTCCTCTTCAGGTAACCCCAGCCATGGAATGGTGCCACCCAGAGTTAGGATGGGTCTAATCGAATCTAGATAGTGCCTCACAAGCACCTCCAGGGGCTTATCTCCTAGATGATTCTAGATCTTGTCCAGTTGACAATCAATACATACCAACACCTGAGGATGGAGTTGTAATACAGGAACCCCAAAGCAGCAAGCCTAGATGTTCTCTCTGAGAAAGTAGAAGACTTCATGGGAATGATAAAGCTCAGGCTGGATCTGGAAGCCTCAGGAAGAATTGCTAGAGTACGGGAGAGAAGGGTGGTCAAGTCTAGCTTGCTGTAAACAAAGTCAAGAAGATGCAAATGTGTGTGGTGAGTCTCTGTTAAAGACTTCATATGTTTCCTCCCATAATGCTATCCCATTAACTCAGGTCCTCAGTCCTGCATGCAAAAGCATTTTTTACTGTCTGCTGTAGAACTGTTTCCACCCTAACTCTGCATGCTATGGGAATGAGACACATGAGCCTTCCATGTTACCTTTCCAGCATCTGTCCTAACCAAAAAAGAGTTGTCTTGATATACTTTGTTTTAAGAATAAAGCACTTTTTTTATTATTGATCAAGGTCTCAAATTTTATTTTCTCAGAATAAATTTCTGGGAGAAATAGATTTCCTATGTATCCTATATTGTTTCTGCTCTGAAAGTGACGGGAGATAATATCGTAAAACAATGGACCAACCTGTGGTCTCTCAGGTTTGTTTCCACTGGGAGTTTGCATGAGAGACCTCCATTGAAAGACCTCTCCAGTAAAACTAATGCCTGGATCCCTTAAAATCACTCATTTCACAAAGTCTTAAATTGTATTTTTCCAGAAATCTGACACTTGCGGCCTGTGGTTCAATTCATAGGTGACTGGAACTCTTCTCAGGTTAAGTCTGTCCAACAGAGAGAGAAGACAGAGCCCCTGAGGGTCCTTAAGCAGTTTGAGGGACATGACCATGGGATGGGATGGGATGGTTCTAGAAAATGTTTTGCAAAGTAGCAAATCTGCCAAATGTTTGTCTCTATTTACCCAAGAGATGGTAAGAGGATTGTACCACAATACAAATCCATTCATTGCTTCCTTCATCCAAAATGTCTTGCTACAAAAGGTCTCTCAGTATAAATAAGAAGATACTTACTTACACAACTGAGTTTTAGTAGGCTTGAGGTCTTTTTCTTTTTATAGACTAGTAATAGCTGATAGGTTGGCAACGATCTATAGACCACTCTTTGAGGAATCCAGATCTAGGAGAAAAGTTCTTCCCAAGCAGAGGATAGTCTTAACCTTCCCACTTCCACCTGCAACTTAGTTATGTGGTGTGATAGTACATCCTTTTCCTTCATTCATGGACCTCCCAACATGTCCACAGATGACCATCAGCCCTGGCCTCTTAGCTGCTGCAAGTCTTAGAAGCAGCATGATGCTATGCAAAGAATTTCGGGACTAACACACCACATATGTCAAGACCAGTTTCTTTCTACTGGTTTTGTGGCACAAACAATGCCCCACTTCTAAACTTCAATACTTTTTCTGAAAACAGGAAAGTAATATATATCTAAAAAGCTTGTAAAATTAAAATACACATCAAACAGTATATGATTTCATGTATGGGAAAAGAAATTAAAATCCCCTGTACTCTGACATCTTTCTCCTTGCTCTTCCTCTTCCCTTTATTAAGCCCATGAATACTTTATGCAGGAATATCAGTACATCCTACATCTTCTGTTGTCAGTACTGGCTACATGGATTATACTGTAAAATATTAGTTCCTCTTCCTTGAGACCCAAAGACTTTGCCTCTCACACCCTGCTTAGGAAGCCTGTTCCCACATGCCAAGGATGATAATCCTCCCACAGGGCCAATCTGAACTCCTAAATCATTCCTTAAAACCAGGAAGGACAAAGCCAGTAAGAAAAGCCATGTTTATGTTGTCACTTTTCCCAGAGGCAAGGGCACTACAGGCAAAGGAGAATAAGAGGAAAATTAGACTATAAAGAAATATTTGACAGTGTTTCCTTAATCGTGGTCGACATCTGCTGATCCAGCCAAAAGTGTGGGGGCAGAGGTGAACTTTGCTATGCCACGGTGAATAATGTAATCATACTTTTGATACCAAACTACATTTAACTGCCATATAAATCCTGCCGGCCTCCATACCACACCTCATTATCTCGCAGGAAATGGATGGCTTCTGCAAAGTCAAATGTGCTCTGCCTGTGCCTCTGAAGCTGGGATGGAAACACAGGACTGAGAGTCATGTGCTTGCTGGGCCCATAAGCCCAGCTTTCCAAGTGCACATACAGAGCCTTGTCCAGCTATCCTTAGCTCTTACTTGCTCTAGGCCCGTTCAGGCAAAACACTCTACCCTCTGAGTGTTTGATCTGACAATTGAAAATGGGAGTAGGAAGGATCTTATTTCTGTTTTGCAAATTAGAAAAGTAAGGTACAGAGATCTTAGCAAATGTTCAAGGTCAAAATCAAATATATAGCCGAAGGGAATCTGGACATCAAGTTAAAATCTGCCTTGACTCAGAGCATGCTTTCCCCAAAACAAAAAATGCTCTGTGCCACTGCTGCTCTGGTACTCTGCTAGAAAAACTGGCTTCTTAACAATGGCTCCTACAATTTCAGATTCTCAAACTCCCCAAAGGGTGAAAATGAGTCAAACAAACACAAGTAGAAATGTTCAAACTTGGTTTTATGAAGTACAATAAGGTGGCAGAAATGACTGGCATAACTGGAGGAGAGGATGCTGTCTAGACCGCTTTAGAAAGGAAGAGGAGGAAAATCCAGAAGCTGCTCTGCCTGTGTTAAGAAGGAAGCAGCAAGCTGGGTTGCTTTGCCTGGTTTTCAGCTACAGGAATTGAAAATACCAGTCCAGGTTCAATGCATCATTCTTAGGGCAGTGAACAAAATCCCCCTTTGTTCCCCAGTGAAACTTATCTCTGAAGAGCTGTGCCACTTCCTGTGAGATACAGCCCTGCAGATGTGTCTTGGAAGTCCCACCCCACTCACTGCTCTGTCTTCAGTCAAAGTGCAAGAATGGTCACTTTGTACTGCTGACTGAAAATGACACTCACTCCTCTGATCTCCACTGGGGTTACCAAGTGGACAAAACTTCCTGCTCACAGGAGGGGACAGACACTGGGTGTGTGTGTGTGTATGTGTGTGTGTGTGTGTGTGTGTGTGTGTGTGTTTCTTTTGTAAATTTATTTAACTATTTATAGAGTTAAAGGAGACAGAAAGGACAGTCAGTGTAGCCCAGTGTTTTCCAAACTGTATTCCATGGAACTTTTCCAAAGATTGGAGGCTCCAGAGGCTGGAGGCAGAGGGTGGATTGAGTGAGAGCATTAAGTTTGTCCCTGGCCCTTCCATCTGCCTTCCTTACCCTTGCCAACACCAACAATAGTCAGAGAAGTTCTAGAAGTTTGATGTGGTAGACTTGATACCATTTCATTCAAGCAAAAACTTGCTTAGCTTTAAAAAAGTGTTGAAAAACACAGTTGCTGTAGAAATATTCTGTGGGGGTAAGGATCTGTCTCAAAATCTATCTTCTATCCTGTTAACACAGAACTCTGTGATTCTGAGTCATTCATTTCAACTCTCCTCTCAATGTCCTTATCTATAAAATGAGGAGGTCTACGGTCACCACCAGCAGTGGCCGCTCCTCTGTTCTCACAGGCGTCGAGGCTGCACCTCTGCGCCTCTGTGCCTCTGCTCCTCCGCTCGCCCTGGGCTGAGGCCGCTCTTCTGCTCGCCCAGTGCCGCCTTCTGTCGTCGCTGCTTCTGCCCAGTCCTGGACCCCTGGCTGGTGAGGAGACTGCATCAGCGGAGCTGCATTCAGACACAGGAGAGCACATTCAGTGACACAGGTCTGCTTTATTGCAGGAAGGCACAAGCTTATATAGGGGTAGTGGTCCAACCACAGCACAGCAAGTAGGATACCTTAGTAGCATAACAGGTTTAGCATCCTATCACAGTACAGCAAGTAGGATACCTTATTAGCATAACAGACTTAGCATCCTATTAGCATAAGAGACTTAACATCCTGTCACAGAATAGTGGGTAGGATGCCTCATTAGCATACTGGGTTTCAGATTACAGAGCCTGGATTCCTGGAAACCACATGACCCTGACTGTTGCACTATCTAAGTGTTACAATTTGGAATTCCAAGGGTGGTGATTAGGGAGTGGCAAGCTCTAAGCATTAGTCTCATGATCTGCCAATGGGAGCAAATGTCACAAAGCGTTTCTTGTGGCTCCAGTGGTTGTGTCGTTGCCTCAGGCCTGCTGTATGGCTGTCAATAAGACTTTCACCCTAGGCTAAAGCCTGTCTCCCACAGAGGTCCTCACCAGTGTGCAGCTCCTGAGCACACGACTATGCTTATTACATTGGCCAGACAGATCTAACTGAGCATGCTCTTCATGCCCTTTCATACTGACAAATGGAAAGTTTTGGAATCAGGCATTGTCTTTATCCTTGGAAGCCAAATATAGAAACTATAATCCTTCTGTGAATGAGTTCACAATTGAGCCATAAGCAGAAAGCTAATTGAATAATGGAAGATAAACTTCCCTATACTTGCCACAAGGGCCAATATTTCAAACTGTGGAACCCACAAATTTTTTCTCTGGGAATTTCTCTTGAAGAACTGAATCTAACATCAAAGTGACCTGAGACAATAAATAAGTAAATACTGTGCTCTAATATAGGCACAAAGTTGGAAGGAGGAAATCAAGACACCGTCAAACATACTCAAAGAAGAGCTAGAACAAAGGAACCCTGAGGAACAATACATGTCTGGCCCAGGGTTCAAAGCAGCCACTACATGGTCACCTCTTCAGAAGAAGCTTTGAAGAGCTCTAGCAAGAAGAGTGAACATTTCCAGAATGTTTGCCTTGGTCTTGCCACCTCTAAGTTTAGGATTCATGGACAGATCCTCTGTGCTGCACCACACATATCTCAGGCATCTCAGGAGTGGAGATGATGGTTCAAGAAAAACGGTGTCTCAAAAGACCACTTGAAGCAAGCAATCTGGACCCCAGCCCAGGCTCACCACCACCTGGTTGCGTGGTTTAATTTTTAATATCCTGCCTTTCTTCATTGGTAAAACGGGATAACGGTTACCTAAATGATGGTACTGGTATGCTGCTGGGTCTGCTGTTTCCTCATCTGTAAAAGTCCAATGATTTCAAGTCCCATTTTTCTCTAAAACCACTCCTGAAGCGGGAAGCAGTTCTTCAGTGCAGACTGAACTTTCTCTATAAGAAAGATGATAGGAAAAGAATCAATTTCTATGATTACCCTTTAGACTAAATGGGTGGGGGGGTTGTTGCAACAAAATAAGCACGAGTTTTACCCAGAGGAAATCAGGAATGAACACCCTTGTAAAGTGGCTTAATTTTCAATTAAGATAGAGTAAAATTCTATTTATTACATTCCTATCTGTGAACTCAGAATTCAATGGTTACAAGCAGAGAGTGCACACTATACATAATCCTCAGTTAGCACTATTAAAACTGATGGGCTGTTTAAACGGCACTGTTATAAGGGATTTTAATTTTTCCCCTGTGAGAAATATGAACCACATTACATTTATGTCTCAGATAATCAAAAGAAGAGAAAGACTTGAAATTGGGGAAAATAAACAGGAGGAAAAACACCCCATTTTTCCACTGTGTGTACCTGTAACTATTGATGGCACAAGATATGTATGAGTTTATACTGGATTGCTTTACTGTCAACTCATAAACTGGAAGCCATTTCCCAGAATTCCCCTTTGTATATGATTCTGAGTGAGAGTCAGCCAAGAGAGGAGTTTGTGTGCAGTCTAAGCAGTGGCACTAGAGCAGAGATCATGACTCTCCAGGCACAGGTTCCCTGGTTTCTAGCTGATCCTCACTTTTAGCTCACCTCCAGCTTTTCTCCCAGAGCACCAACACTACTGAACAGTGGCAGCTGCCCTAGGCGTGCTAGTGAACACTTGCTGGCAGACCCACACAGGTAGTCCCCACATAGAGGGAGGCATGCCCACAGATGTCACCACAAGAATCTCCCTTTGGTTTCACTTCATGGGGCTAGATGTGCCTGGCTCGAACCTCGTTTTGCCCACATGCACGAAGGCCCTTAATAACTGGGTTAGTGACATCTGTCCCTATACTTTTGACTCTTCACTTCATTAGGACCTTCCACAATTAAGTAAGGTTTAAATCCTAAAACTAATCTGAATATTACATCAGCTCTGCTTTTTCCCTGACTGATCTTTGGCTTATATGAAAATTCTGTATGAAATGCAAAACTGTAGAAGATAAAACTTAAAATATTTGACATTACCTTTAAGACTGAGCAGCAAAAGTCTTTAGAGAGGGATTCATACAGATAAGCTGCAAAATCTATTATGTAATGGGGAAATGATTGTCAAAACTGTCCCTAGGGGTAATATGAAAAAAAAGAATATATGTCATATAGTTCTATAAGTTTACAGATCTGCCTTATAAACTTTCAAAGTGCCAATTGGCATCTTTATCTACAAGGCACATTAAGAAGCATATGATTTGAGGAGATAAATAATTAATTTTCAAGTTAATTTGTTTTTTGAAATATATATGCAGATCTGATTACTGTGAAGAACACTTTCATGAGTGTGTGACACACATATACAAAAGAATACAAATTCATTTTAAAAGTTCTAGATTTGAAAAACTAAACTCTCCTTAGCTTCTCCAGCCAGCAAAAGCCTCTCAAGTTAAGAATTAGCCTCAAAATAAACACAAAACTAAGACTACTGGTCTAAGCAGGCTGTACTAGTACACAGCTTTGATCCCAGCATTCAGGAGGCAGAGGGAGGTGGATCTCTGTGAGATTGAAGTCATCCTGGTCTTAAAAAATGAATATTGGTCTGAGATTCTTTAACAAGATATCCGGATATTTTAAGTCAATGACTGATAGATTTTTCTCAAGTAGCAAAGAGGAGTTTGAAATCTTAATGCCATTGCCAATAACATTCTTAATGGCTATTAAAGGCAGAGAAAAATACTCCTCAAAAACACTCACTCACTTATGCATATTTTGAATATTTACTGCACTCCAGTACATATCCATAAGACGTTTAAGAAACTTGTACCAAAAGGACACTGACAGCCAGGCATGGTGGAACATGTCTTTAATCCTTGCACTCAGGAGACAGAGGCAGGAGGATCTCTGTAAGATGGAGGCCAGCCTGGTCTGTATAGAAAATTCTAGACCAGATGGGCCTACAGGGAGACTGTCTCAGAAAAAGAAAGAAGGAAGGAAAGAAGGGAGGGAGGGAGGGAGGGAGGGGGAGGGGAAGGGAGGAGAGGGGAGAGAATTTAAAAAAGGACACTGCAAATACGGACTAAAAAGAATGGATACTATTTAAAGCGATCGATCTCTCAGAGCCCCAAACTTTCTTTGGACATGGAGTAAGCTAATGAAACAGGCAGTAGCACATACAGACCATTTCATCAAAAAGTAAGTGGTCCTACAAAATCCTGGAGCCCTGCTCATACGAATCTACAGCAATGGTGTCAGCATACACAAGTCCCATGCAAACTCAAACAGACAAAGACCCAGCATAGAAGTGGGGAAGTGGACAGCAGACCCCAATCTTAACTGAAGAAATATTGGCAACTGATTACTGCTGGGTGGGGTTAGGTTCCTAAGGCAAAGGTCCCTGGATGAGCTGACTGGACCTCAGTAGATGAACTTGCACTGAGGAACATCTGTGGATACTAACTTGACACAATAGGCCTTCACACAAATGACAGAATGTATAAATTCCAGTGGGGAGCTATGGGAGGGTGCCAGTGGGGATGGGGAAATAAAGATGATTAAGATTGATTGAGATGTTCTATATAAAGTACACAAAAATTCAATAAAAACAATTTTTTTAAAAAGTAAAGCGCTCGATGGCTATATTAAAAAAGAAGAGTGTGGTACAGAGAGCAGTGGGGTAGAAGACCAGTAAACAAACTGAACCCTCGTCGAGGAATATGGCATATCATGGGAGGAGGATGCTCCAACAGCATGAGCCTCACTGAACTGAAGAATTCCTGTGGATCAGATACTGTTATCTGCCTTTCACTCTTCCCTTCTTTAATGTAAATGCATTCTGAAGTTATATTTTGCTCAAATTACCATTTTATGTTGCATGTCTATGGGAAAGAGATCTAGTCTGATTAGTCTATAGATCTGTGTCAAGAGCAATTGTCCCCAAGGAATTACATTAGGGAGTTTCATCTGCATCTAGTGCTGAGAGGATGGACTTCAAGCTTGCACCATGGTGAAATGAGACTTGAGCTTGTCTTTAGGGAGGATGAGTATAAAAGGATATAAATACGTGTGACCAGAGAACACACATGGGAGATAAGGGCATGAGAATGCCTATGAGTTCTTTGAAGTTCCTACCATAAGACAAAGAATCCACTTCTGCTAAACTTTCTCTGTGATGGCCTTGTGACTTGCCCTGACCATCTTGGCTACTTTGTTTGTTTGTTTTTGTCTTGTCGTGTTTGGCTTTTTTTTTTTTTATCTTCTTTGCTTTACAATGCTTCTACTTTCACCATTGTGCAATATGCATTCTTAACCCTATTCTGACCCTCTTAGAACATTGTCACTTTATTAAAAAAGAAAAAGGGACCTTGAGAAATAAAACACTACATGGTAGAGAAACACTGTGGAGATGGCTATCAGATAGCCCAACTGTTTCGGCCACAAAGATGAGCCCCATATATACCAACCACTCCCTATAAAACCCACTGGTTCACAGAAACTGCCTGAGTTAGTGCAGCCACCTAATGAATAGGCCCAATCAAAAGTGCCAACCCACATAGCCATAAATAAGTAAATAATATCCACTACTAATATCTTAGGTGGTTTGCTGTGTAGCAATTGAAAACTGAGATGGTTTAAGGGAAACATTTCACAGATGGATATCTGCAATATACTGTCTAGAGAACAGGAGCTAGGATAAGGCACCTGAGTCACTCACAAGCAAATGTCATTTAGGCAGCACAAGGGCCTTTTTCCACTGTGTATCCCCGGCATTTCTGTCCCCTAACCCCGCACTTTAGTTCTTTTATATGACTGCACCTAAAGGTATTGATTCAGTCATCGCTGATGAAAGGCTTGCTATTGACCCACAACAAGAAGTGGAAAATAGCTCTCTGAACTCTTCAGTACCTAGAATCAAATGCCTACACAAGACAAGTCCTTGGATGACTACTGAGCTGCTGCCATAGAACATTCTAGCAAATACAAAGAAGTGGTATATTTTTCTATGGAAGCCCCAGCCCCTAGCTGAGAATTTACTGGCAACTAATGGATGTTGGGGGAGAGAGAGTCAGTCTTCCTTGAGCGTGTGACACCTGGTAGGTTGACCAGACACCAGGGCAGGAACCCACACCCAGAAGTATGTGGTAGGCATGGATTGGAATTGATAGGCCCTTAAAAAAAGCGAAGGAAAGAAATAGAAAGAAAGAAAGAAAGAAAGAAAGAAAGAAAGAAAGAAAGAAAGAAAGAAAGAAAGAAAGAAGGAATAGGAGGACACGAAATATGGAGGGTGAGTAGTAAGAAAGGGCTGGAGATGGGGTAAGGGGTCTGAATATGATAAAATATGTTGTATGAAATTCTAGAATCAATAAAAAAGTATTTTTAAATATTTTATTATTTTTATTTTATATGTGTGACTGTATTGCCTGAATGTGTGCACCCGTATGGTGCAAAGTCTGTGGAGGCGAGAAGAGGGTGTTGGATCCCCTAGAACTGGAGTTACAGGTGATTGTTAGCTACCATGTGGGTGCTGGGAACTGAACCCAGGTCCTCTGCAAGAGCAAACAGTGCTCTTAACCATTGACCCATCTCTCCAGCCCCAATAAAAATGTATTTTAAAAAGAATTAAATGTCACCAATCAACATAGAAGTGTCAATGGCTCAAAAGATCCTTCTGCTGTCAAGTTGAATGAAAAGTAGGACAGTGCCCACATGTCCGGGAATCACAAGAACACATCACAGAGCAAGAGTCGCAGTGGAACAGCTGTGCCGATGGCCAAGGCTGCTTTGGAAGAGTTTCCCTATGGCCCCTTCTATTATTAATGGTAAGACAGTCTCTTTTTCAATATATTTTAATTGAATTTTTGTGTATTTCATACACATCTCAGTCCTTTTTATATCCCCTTCTGCTCCCCCAACACTGAATTTCCTGCATTCTGTCATTTATGTTAAGGCCTATTGAGTTAAGTCA